AAATGTTTTCAGTGAAGCCCTATTTAAAGCTTTCCAAGTGCATCTTTTAAATAACAGACTAAAAGTAACAAGTATCTGTTCACATATATTATTAGTTCATGCTTATGTGGTATTATCCATCAATATGATGAACAAGTACTTATTCCCTATAAAAATCCTTACTCTAGTAATGTACCTAAATATATTTAATTCTAACATTGAAAGTCTTTGTACCAGTTCTTGACTACTGGAAGCCATGGTATTATTCACAGCTCAGTGCAAAGTAGGCTGCCTGGAATCCTCAATAGTGCACCTGAAGCTCTTTCTCAACAAATTAAACTCAAGCTGTCTCTAAAATTAATCTCTACTTAAAAGTCATAAAGTAATATGCATCTGATTTCCTCCCTCCAGGGGCTGGTGAGTCAGCTTAGACATTTTGGGAAGATGAGTTCCCAACTGAGCTGTTGTAACCTCTGGCAGATATCATGAACAGACAACAGACCGCCTGCGGTTCCATCTAGAATGATCTGAAAAAGAATTTATTAAAAAAATCTTGTTTATTTGAACATATTCATGTTTTGAAACAATTCAGCATTTCATAATACCAAAGCAGTAGGTTAAAGTTTGGATATGATCAGTTCCCAGTTTAGGTAAATAGGTAACTAGATAACACAGGATTAGTCACAAATATTTGAGCATGTGAATTGTGAATAAAGCCTATGACCCTCCATGTCAATAAAGAAAAGCACAAAAACACTAAGGAATCTGATGTCTAGGTAGGGCAATGTACCCAGTATGCAAATTATCTCACTCTATGGAGGGTACACTGTCTTAACACTTCATTACAGATGCTCAGACAACTGTGAGAAATCCAACATACTTTCGAACAGCTCATTGGTTATGAGAAAGTGACTTTGGTGCGTAATCTCTGACATTGACTCATCTGCAGAAAGTAGGTAGAACTGGCTAATAATATCATACACATAATACCACTATCACAGTGTCTGTTTAAAAATTGCTGCTAACATCTGGCCACCCCTAGATACTTACTAAGAGTTTTAAATCTCTTACAGGTGAAATTAAAGTTTGTGTTTGTCAGAATATTGAATCTGATTTTCCCCCTTCTCTTTCCTGGTATGGGAGCATTCAAAACCAATCACAGAGTGTTTTTTTTTCTCTGCTTTAGATATTACTGGTGCCTGCTGAAAAGAATACAGAAACTCCAACAAAGAAGTTAATTCTTAACTTTTCCTTTTTCCTCAGTTTTAATCACTATCAGGTACGTGTGTGTTAGCTTTATAGTTTGTAGTCCTTAATAATTGATAAGAATTTAAATTAAATTGACAAGAAATGCCAAACAAAGATAGTTTTTCAGGAGTTACTGTGGTGTTGCTCAAGAATTTTAAGAACTTTAAAAGTACTTTACTTCAAAATAGAAAGATCTTGTAACATTTTAAATCTTGGTAAACTCCAGCATAAGAGAGGGTCCTAATGAAGCTGAGATGGGAAGTACATATATAGTGGATCAGAAAGTGTCCCTAAAAGGAAACATTTTTCATTTCTCCAAATGCATTTGCTTTTCCATTTCTCTGTTATGATACTGTCTGGCTCTCAGACCAACACAGTACTGTTGTTTGGAGACTACTGGCTCTCAATACCAGGAGTCTCCAAAATCCATTCAATTCTTTGTGGATCCGTATGGGATACACTCTTACGTTTTTGCACACTGTGATTTATCTTGTAAGGTATATGGCTGGGTATGGAGAGACTTCTTTGGACTTACCTAGTCATAGATTCCAGAATCTTTGAATTCATTCTAATGAATTCATTCTAGCTTCTAAGATAAAATGAGAGAACACCTCAATCAAAAGAGAGGATCCTTCAATCAGGATGAAGTTAGGAGAAGATTTCAGGTGAGGTGGAGTATAAGTAGTAATGCATAAAACTTTTTTTTGCCTACTGATGCTGCTGTCCTTGTACCTCCCATGTACTTTACTTAGTTGACTTTGGTCAGACAAGAAGTTTACTGTTTAGTCTAAATTCACTTCCTCAGCTCACTTTATAGTCAGAGGGAAAAGATAAATACTTCCCAAAGAGTTACTGATCCCATCCACTCTCAAAATCTATTTAAATATTAAATGTTCTTTTTCTCTCCACTTAGATTTACAGAGAAATTTGTTGGTAAAACTATTCAGGCTGTAACTGGTGAAATATGATCTGATAAAAATATCAGGAACAGCAAATTTTTCTTTAGGGACTTTATGAAATTAACATCTTTATTTGAAAGTAAAACAATTCAACTAGGAATTTTAAAAAATTGGAATAACTGTCTATACTGAACTTATAAAATCATAGAAATATCTCTACTACTTTATGTATTGTCTGTATATAGCATTAACATACTGTAGATTAAGAATTTTCTGTAAAGAATGCTTGCAACAAACTCTTGCAAAAAAACAGAATCACTTCAATGTCCATGATTCAGTTATGTATGTCGTATTTGCTTTTTTCTTGAGTCTCAAGCACTAAAGACAATTATTATAAAGATACTATAAAGATATTGTAAAGATAATTATCTAATTTTTCATGTCTTCTACAGTGTCATGAAATACATAGCATCACATAAACTGTGATTTCAGTTTAACAAGGAGGAAATTGCTATATTAAGAAAAGAAAACCACTTGGGTGGGTGAGAAAAAACAAATAGAATGGAATGAAACAATATGCAGACATATTTTGTAAATTCTTCTATTTCTTGTAAAGAAACAGTCCCTGAAAACTTATGCTTCTAAACATTTATATACTCTTAAGGAGAGGCAATCTCTGAAACTGAGTTACATCAATAAAAAGAAAATGGCTTATTCACATACACTCTTCAATTAAAATAAAAGAATGAAAATTAAAAGATTCCAACAAGCTCTTAAAAAACCAGGATCTGTTCTCTTGTATCTAAATGGACATTTCTATGCTGATATTTAAAACTGACCTCTTCCTATTCAAAACCCTTAATGCCTGTTGTTCTTCTGTTTTTGTAAAAGGGAGTTCCAGGGACAGTCGTGTCTGAAGATTGTCTGAAGGTGGAGAGTGACTTGGATACCAGTAACTGAAATATGTGCAAATTAATACCTTGTGGCTGTGGGAAGAGATTAAGATAAGCAGGAAATGCTAGAAGCCATTAAAAAAGCTATTGAAAGGAATTGTTAAAACAGTTGTTACAAACTGGAATAAATGAGGCACAGATGTTTAAACTGAAAGGAGAAGAGAAAAAAACACCTCACACGTTTCAGAATCTGTTTGCTGGCTGCCATCTGAGTATTTGTATCACAAGTCTCTACAAATCAAAATAAATACTTAACTTGTATATCTGTATTCCTACAGTGCTTTGAAATTCCCTTTCCCCTTTTTTTTGGTTTTTTTTTTTCCTGAAAGAAGAAAGAGTTTTTATCATTAGGAATTCTGGGAAGGAATGAAGTTCCATCCAAAATTTCCAAGTTACCAGAAACTGTGTGCAGTTTTGGGCCACCTTAATATAAGAAGGATATAAAGGTATTGGAGTCTATCAGGAAGATAACCAATATGGTGAAGGGCCTTAAGGGGAAGATGTATGAGGAGCAGCTGAGTTCACTTGGTTTGTTATCACTGGAGAAGGGGAGACCGAGGGGGAACCTCGGTGCGGTCTTCAACTTCCTTATGAGGGGAAGAGGGAGAGCAGAAACTGATCTCTTTTCTGAGGTGACCAGTGACAAGACAAGAATGGCCTGGTGTTGTGTCAGGGGAGGTTTAGGTTGGATATCAGGAAAGGGTTCTTCCCCAGAGGGTGGCTGGCCACTGGAATGGGCTCTCCAGGGCAGTGGTCACAGCACCAGCCTGACAGAGGTCAAGAAGTGTTTGGACAATGCTTGCAGACACATGGTGTAGCTCTTGTGGTGTGCTGTGCAGGGCCAGAAGTTGGACTAGATGATCATTAAAAGTCCCTTCCAATTCAGGATATTCTATGATTCTACGATAAAGAGGAGGGAAAAAATTGTTTCCTTAGGGAAACAGTACTTATAGCTGTTACTGTTCATTACTCGATTTTTGATTAATAGTTGTTGAAAGGAATGTTTATAATACAAGCACAGTATGTTACCTAGCTGCAGAGGGAAACTAATCCTGTAAGCAGCAACTCAGAGTTGACTGATGTAGTCCATCTGTTGAAAAATCACACCTAATTGGCAGCTCCTGTATCTGCTGTAGCAGTTTGACACAAGCAGTGAATTTGCTCCAGAAGTATGACTTGTCTTTTGCCAAGATAGAAGAGCTTTTAAGTCTTAACAGCTCTTTCTGTCTTGCTTTCTGCAAATGTGACTGCAGCCCTGTTGTGAGTTGCATTAACAGAAGCGTTAATGCATTAACATCTTGTATCTATTTAGTATTTAGTGGTGTTTTTCTGTCTGAGGAACCTACATTTTTATTATGGTGAGGAAAGCTGGCAAAACTGGTATGTAAATGTTATCCTACCAATTTCCTAGTTAAGGTTGTTGTTACAGCCAATCAAGAATCATGTTTTAAATTACATGACATTTTTAAATAATGTGACATAATAAATATCTCAGTAAACATATTGTGCTCCAGGCATTTAGTAACAAGCTCGTTACTGCTGTGAATGGATTCATCCTTTACTTACTGAAGGTAAAATCAGTATCTCAATAGCTCTAGTAATTTCTGCTGAAATATACTGAAAAAAAAAATTAGGTAATCCTTGATAATATGTGATTTCTAAAACCTCAAGCTTTTGTCAAGAGTATTCCATGGCTATAAATATGTGTAGATACTTGAGCTGGAAAAACCTTACGTTTGAACAGTAGTAAGTCAAAATATTAAAAGGAAATACCCTATTTCTACCTGAAAAAGGGGCATCTGTATCAAATAAAAGTTATAGTCAGCTCAAAAAAAAAAAACCAAAAAAACAAGTCAAATATTCATTACTTTAATCAAATACCCTGAAAGGATTACACATTACCAGCAAAACTTTGGCTTACCAGATCCATTGCTGCTCACTTCAGTTAGTTCTTCATCATCTTCATCATCACTATCACAGTTTAATGGCTGAAAAGCTGATTCTGACTCTGTGTCTATTTGATGAGCATCTGGCTCTTGCTCAGCAAAGCTTCGCAAGGCCACAAGGCGATGATGTATTGCTGCATACAGGTGTTCAGTGTCTTTTGAGCTTGCCTGCAGAACATAAAATGTACACAGTCCAAATCAACTGAAAAAAATCTCAGTTTTTAAAATTTCATTAAAAAAATAATGAAAGAGTTGTATTTTGTCCTTTTTAATCAAAATTATCAACTTAAGATTCACACTTAATAATTAACATCCAAGTATTAATGTAAATACAAATAATGTGAAGTTTCTTTATGTGGTCTGAGCTTTATATGCAGCTGTTGATTATCTTCTCTGTAGTTACAAGAAACATAAGCTGAAAAATTACTTTCCCTGAAGAACAACTCAGTTTGTATGGAGTACCTGATATTTCAGATGATTCCTGAGTTTGATTCTACAAGTGAGAATGCACTGACATGTTAATATGTACAGTCACCAGGTGGATACTGCATGTACTGGGATGGGTACCATCCTCCTCAGTGACTGCAGAAGCAGCTTCCTGCAACCCTTGCCACACCCATATAGATCTCATATATCATGATTTCCTCATACATGTCTATTTTTACTGCCCAGTAGTGCCAAGAAAAATTTACAAAATGTGAATTACACACTCTATGAAAACAGTGCAGCACCCCTGGAAATCAGGACATTTAAAATTCTCACATGCAGCCCAGCAGTCCAGCATAGCCATAGGTAAGTCAGTCCCTGTCAGGAAGTGACAGACTTACAGCCACATACACAGTGTATGGTGCTTTGCTTGTGTATGACACGTGATATTTCCTGGAAATTATGATTTATTTTTCTTTCCCAGCAAGCTGAATCCTTCCTAGAAAGATCTACTGGGGAAACTATAAACATCCTTAAACTCATTTGGATGCTCTCACTTCCCAACTTGGGACGTATGTGCTGTTTATTTGCAAGTCCAGGACTTTTCCACCTCCAAGTTAGCCTTTATTAGAGAAAACCAGGGTTCCCAAGACTATTGTCTTGTCTCACACACAGTGATATTGAAACTCTGTATGCCCTCAAGTGAGAAATGGAGGTCCTACACTGGATGGATTTATTGCAAGTGCTGTGTTGAGAACCATGGCAGAAAGCTGCTGCCTTTTACCAGAGTAACTTACAAAATTGCAGCTACCTGTGAAGTAATTGTCAGTGTATTGCTCCATTAAAAAAGAGCTATTACTGCATATTACTGGAATGATAGCCATTCCATTGGTGGTATGTGAACCATAGTCTGGAAATGTCTGTCTTAAGGCCAGATCATATCATCACACCTGTTGCTTTGAAATACCATTCTAATGCATTCCATAATAAAAGCCATGTAACATCTAAGCTGAGTATAGTCTGATAGAGCATGAAGGCTATTTGCTAAAACTAAGCTTCAGCAACCCTTCAGAAATCTAAATGAAGTGGGGTTTTGGGTGGAGCTGTTGTCTCCTACTTACCTGAGTTAGAAATACTTGAACAGAATGGTCCTCTTGATCTGTTGCAGTGAAGCACAGGCTCTTTCTGTTTGCTCTTTTTATAACCATTTGTTCCCAGAGTTGGGTGTTGAGAATCAGTCTCAAGCTACCTTGATTTCGCATAACTAAAATAAGAAGGTTAATATGATAAGCTGCAGCTGTTTTCTCTAGCACTTGTAAACAACTAATATTTTCAACAATTATTATTTTTAATTTGGTCTAAAACCCTGATATAGTGATATTTTTATTTTTTTAATATCCAAATATGTTAGTTTCTTTCAACATGTCTGGCACACAAAGAAAATAATCTGCTGCAACTGTTCAATACAGTACAAAAAAGTGACAGCACAGTAAGAACATTCCAAAAGAGTCTTGAAATAGTGTTGCTGAAAAAGCAGAACTAACAAAGAGCAAACTGTTAGACTGGTGACAGAGCTGAAGGCACTGTGCAGCAGAGAAGTACACAGAACCTAACAATATATGTGAGTCCAGTTCCTCAGTCTGTAACACAGAGAACTTTATAAGGTAAAAAGATTCTCAACTTGACTTAAATATAACAATATTCTCAGATTAAAATGTTCTAAAATAAACACTGGCCAACAATAGGACAAGTTATTTGGCGTTTTCTGTATGGGGTATTTCATTATTTAATTCGTACTTAGCCTTGACTGCAACATTCCATGCTTATTGCTAGAAGTGTCATTAAGCCTCAGGGATCCTCTGCCTCTTTCAGTCCAGGTTAAAGAAAGCTTATTAAATACAAAGAGCTTGCAGTTTATCTGAAAGAGAAATACATGATAAAAACTGCCAGCCAATGCTAGTTTTATTTGCTCTAAGACTTTATGGTCATAAAACTTATGATACGGCTTTTAATACATTCATATGCGTGTGGACAAAGGTAGATATATAGATATATAACCATTATTATTTAAAATGAAATGGCTCCTAGATCTGTGCTAAACTCTTTTCTCATCATAGAAAACATTCAGCATAAATCCCAGTTTATTTTTTCAATTATTTCATCTTCATTAGCTCTTCTTCATCTATGATATCCACCAGCATAGCTAAATTTGTTGCAAAAGTTGTACAACCTTATTCCTTCACCCATTACAAATTTTATGCAGCCCAGAATGCCAGTACTGCTACTAGAAAACTACTACTCCAAAGACAGTAAAACTTTTGTGTTCTGCCAAGACAGTGGAATTAATCAAAGATAAAATAATGTTAAGAATTTTAAAATCATAACTGCTATTTTCTGAGAAAATAATATTTTGAAGAAAAAGGCAAGATATCTCCTTCCAGGTTGGAAAGATAATTGCTATTTTAGCTGAATTACAGAACAAAGTACTTTAGTAACACACTGCTTTTTTTCCCAAAAAAAGTTTCTTCATAAACCCTATCTTTACTCAAATCACTTCCAGTTCTAAGCTTCTGGTTACAGCTATTATACTGTATAGATACTTATAAAGTACCACTGAAATAGTCACTTACTGAAAGGGTCTACAAAATGAACAAATATAATATGAAAAATAAAGTACCAACTTAGAGAAAAAGGGGTTAGCTGAGGCATAGCTTTAAAAAAGTGAAAATTTAAAATATAAATTGAAGCTATTTTCAGATTTCTGCATCTGCAATAGATCTAGATGTTCTTTTCAACAACAGAACTATTCATCATCAAAGTTTTATGATACACACACCTGCAATACATTGTGTTCTGCTTCTTCTCCAGTTATAACTTCAACTTTATCTAAAAGGATTTTCTCCACTGGCTTAGAAATACAAGCAGCTGCTGATTCAAGTAGTGTTGCATTCCTCAACAGAGCTCTTTCTGTAGGGGGGAAAAAAAAGAAATTCTTTCTATACAGGGAATATTTCAGGAATATTTTTAGGATAACAAAACTAGTACACAGGCTGTGACCATAGTAATACCTGTGGCATCTGACATTGTTTAGTGTTATTAATAAGTTTTTGGCCAAAGGAACAAATGACAAGGCAGGAATACAAAATACCTCACTAAAAAGGCTCATACAGAATTGAACAGGGCTGTTCATAGTTGCAGAGGTTTGTCCCAAGGGACAAACAGAAACATGCAGAAACAAAGCCTAAATATTTAGAAGCTGATTTTCCAAATTAAACTCATCTGATATATTGTTATACTGAGTATACACACCCCAATATTAAGAATAATGACATATATACAATGAATATTTGTCAAGAGCACAGGACAAGCTTTGAAAGGACCAACATTGTTACAAAGCTCTGTATCTTTGCATAACTATACACATGTTCTGAAGGCCTTATTTTTATAATTCTTTACTTGTAAGAATATACATAAATCATAAATCATAAATAATAAATTATAAATCATAGGATCTAATACATCTGTATTAGTGGAGTACAAAATTTGTCAAGAATGCTCACAATAGGGGCCTTTTGGGGACTCCATCATAGCCTACGTTTACATGTCTTGCTTAGTAGAAAATCTCACAGTGGAATCACAAACAAGCCCTGAAATATGTCTGTATAGAACTTTCAGTCCCACAATTATGATCCAAAATAACAAAGCAATTTATAGGAGAATTTGAAAAATCCAAGCAGCAGACAGTCTAAAATTGTAATTCAACAATGTGGTCCACAAGGCATTCATAAAGGTTCCTGCATTTTTTTTTCAAGCAATAAATAATCTGAATTAAATAATGATACTCTGTAATATTTTCTTGATTAATTCAGATCATGCTTTCTGAAGTTAGTCTAGTTCAGATGTCATAAACCAAACTGTAGCTGCTTTTTGAATATAGATTTTGACACATACTCTAAGCCTACTCATGACTGGATAGTTTGAGAGTAGATGAAAATTATTGACCACCACTCATTTGACATCCTCTAAAATACAGTGAAACATAATAATAAAGGTAACTGTGCTTGTTTGCTGAGTATACTTACTTGTTTGTGGCCCAACATGAGCAGATCCTGTGGAGATGGATGTTATTTCTCCTTTGTGTGGATCAGCTTCATTACATGACTTGGGATGCCTCTCAGGACTCTAGAAAAACACAGAGGAAACAAGAATTCCTAGTTAAAAAATGGTTACATTACTTTCTATCAGACAGAACACTGAATCATTTAATGCATGCTAGGCTGATGATTAGTAATTTTAATAGCTTCAGAGTAAAAACTACCTTAGAAACTACCCAATTTCAGTCTCTAGAGAAAATAATATTATTATCATAGAATCAGTACATACATTCTTCCTCTGAGAAGAATGACCTCTTTGAGTGGATCCTGGACTAGTATTTAAATCCACTGAAGAACTCAGATGTCAAGGTACTGGTTTGTTTCCAGTTCAAGCCCTAGTTCCCAGAAGAGTAGTTTAAAACTCTCAGACACCACAAACTTGACCTCAGAGGACTGAAAACTTTATATAACCTTCAGTTTTGCAGATAAATTTTCTCAGCCATGTCTAAATAAATGCTTGCGGCTCCTGAAAATGCTCATTGGCTCAACTGATACCTTATAAATAAATCTTGGCCAGAAGTCATAGCCCAAACTGATGGTTGCCAAGCCTTTTATCCAGCAGTTGAGCACAGTTTTTATCCTACTTCAACTGAAAACTGAATTTCAATTCCATTTTCAATGGTGTAGTCCTCAGCTTGGGAACTATTTTTTTGTCCTAGAGTCCTTCAGGACTTAAGCTGCCTCACAAGCATGCACAATACGCATTAACATGAACACTGTCTAGGATTGGTATCCAATTTTTCCCTTATACTTATTTATCACAGAATCACAGACTGGTTTGGATTGAAAGAGACCTTAAAGATCATCTGGTTCCAACCTCTCTGCCATGGGAAGGGACAGCTTTATTAGACCAGGTTGCTCAGAGCCCCATCCAGCCTGGCCTTGGATGGTCATCCTGGATGACCTCCAAGGATGGGGCATCCACAGCATTTCTAGGCAATGTTTTCCTGTTGTCTTGCCACCCTCAAAGAGGATGATTTCTTCCTAATGTTGAACCTAAACCTCCTGTCGTTCACTTTGAAGCCATTTCCCATTGTCCTGTCACTCTGTGCTCCTGTAAACAGTCTCTCTTCAGCTTACTTGTAGGCTCCCTTCAGGTATCCTACAGTTACGATGGAAGTTATCAGAGCAGTAGGAACCACATTCTTTTATCTTACATTGAGGGTGTTCCACTTTCTATGGAATAGACAAAAAACTCTTTTTCAAGTCAAAAAAATAGCAAACCAGAAGTGCATGTTGGTATGCATTAGTAATTAAAGAGTCTGTCTGGGGTGGTCAAGGTAAGAATGCCTACCCCTCCAGCCGCACATTCTCAGGTATTTTTTCCTCAAGAGACATTGGAACCATATTTACTCACATCTTTGAAAGGAGGAGGACCTAAAAAAAATCAATATCTGAAAAAGTAATTATGCTCTTAAGTACACTGACCTTGATAAAAAGTCTGCCAGCATGTGCAGATCCAACCAAAACTCTTTCAACCATGTTTTCCCCAAACACAAAATCAGAATTGCTGCTGTTTTGTACACTTCTTTCTTTGAGCAACTGACTTCTGTGGGAACAAAATAACATAAGAATGTGATTTGGAACTATTCATAGCACTTTAAAGATTCACCACACCTGCCATTAAAGAAAAACAAAAAAGTAATCACGTAAGTAATCAGACAAATTCTTTAAGAGAATCTGAGAATATTCTCTATGGGACATTTCACAAAAGGAACAGAGTATCACACCATATTTCATTAAGATTATTGAGGATATTCCTTAAGAACAAAGAACAAGCAGCAAAACAACATGCCAGTTCTCCTCAGGGAAGTGTCTTACTCCAGAAATCTTAATGAGTTACTTTTGTTTCCCTGTTTCATTTTGCTCCTCCAAGGGACTACTAACAGTTAACAGCTATCTTTCCAAGTTCATGCAGCTCCAGTACTTTGCAGAATAATGTACACTCCAGTGACTTACAGGCACTCCTTGGTCATCCTCCTTACATCTTGGAAGGGCAGGGAGGCAATGTATTCACATACACACAAAAATACTGAAAAAATGTATAGATATAATAGCAGATGGCTTAAGATGAGGTATAAGTAAAACAGGAAAGTAAAGTGTTTCCATTTTTCAATTAATTGTTCCATAGATATAATTATAAAATGAGAAGAGAACTCAAGATTTGCAATCCTTTGGTACTGGCCAAATATATTTTAGAGATTACATTCAAGAATATTCTATACAAGTAGAATTGTGATTTCACCTGCTAATTACGTAGCCACTTTAAATTAACAAGTTTCATTTTTTGTAAAAGTCACTAGAAAAGTCCTTGTAAACTGTATGTGGAAGTTATTCCTGCTGCTGCTGTTTTGGTTGTTCCTGTTGTTCCTGCTGCTGGTTTGGTTTTGGTTTTGCTTTGTTTAGGATTTTTTTTTTTTTTACAAAAGGGGTAATAGGTTGTTTATGCTTTCTGTAGAGTTTAATCCTGCATGTCTTGCTGGCATAGGCAAAACCATGCAAGTTCTTTTCACTTTTTGTTCCAGAAGGATGACTTGGCAGGAAGGCCATCTGATACTGTGTCACAAACTGCATACTTCAGCACCACTTCTGTTTCACGGTATTTATCACCCTTGGGAGGGTTTAACATAACATATGTCATGTAGAAGATACTCCTGTTAATTAACTCCGTTTGTTGGCAGAATTTTGATAATTGCCTCTAAAACACAGTTTCTCTGTTCACAACTACAGTGTGCTTGAAATCTCTTCAAGAATGAAGGGCTTACAGAGTACTACCTCTCTCAATCTTACAATTAATGAGAAAAATATTCCTTAGCATTCTTGTGCTTGATGTGTTGCTAAGACTAGGGGCAAAACAGAGAAATCAGAAAATACTTGTCTTTTCAGCCTTGAAAGCTTCTATGCATGTTTTGGGCCATGAACAGGGAATCTGTAGTGTGTTAATGAGGTTTTTATCCTTAAACACAACCTTCACTAAAATTCACTGGAATGTAACCAATTTTCATAGTGACATTTCAGCTACTACTTCTAGGTTGCTCCAAGAACAGCTTAAGGACAACACCCCAAAAGAATTAGAGGCTTATTTCTAAGAAAAAATGTGGGAAAGTTTTGATTATATTTAGAAACATAATAAAAATTAATCACTACATGATCTTTCTTTTAAGAGAAAGTTAACTGGAAGTGCCAGCCTTAAAATATTATTAAAACCTCAATAGCCTTATGTTGCTGCATGGCAAGAACAAAGTGTTCTTGCCAGGGATGCATTGTCAGGGACACAAAGTGTCCTTGCCCCAGGGATGGCATTGTCATGGAGATACAAAACACAGTCACTCATATCAGGGAATGATCACTAACAAGGAACAACCAGAGGAGAAATATGGATAAAGCACTCACATGGGATTATGAGGGGGGAATAGATTCAGGTACTGGCCTTCTCAGACTGTCCAAAAAGGTCTCAGTAGCTGCCAGTTCCAGTAATGGCCTCAAACCCTTTCAGTTTTCCAAGCAAATCTTTGTGCAGCGTTGACTTGATGTGACTGCAAGCCTGTGTTTTCCCACTGTTGTATTTCTGCCACTTATGACACAAGCTTTCCAAGCTTTTAATCAGACTCAAGAAACTGAATTTTTTTCCTTTCCAGTTCATTATTATAGTCAACCCAGGAAATGAAAATGAGTGGCTTCATAGAACACGGACAGCTGCAGCAACTGCAGATGGATAACAAGATATTTTCACTCATCTTTCATATGATTCATATGAATCATATAATTGAGACATGAAGAAGTGGAAGAGGAGCAAAAGTGAGAGAGATGTCTGCAGGCGAAGCAATCCCTGCTGTTGCAGCTCTCTCATTTTATTTTATAAATATCCCTTGACTGAAAGCTAAAAGCAAACCTAAAAAGTTGTTTTCTTAGCAATGAGGAGGTCTGGCTGCAATGTTCATTTAGTGTTCAGCATGTATGCAGAGTCTAATAATGTAATTTTCTTATTATTGATGAGAAAACAGCTATGCCAGAAGGATTTTACCAAAGTATTTTTACAGCATCAGTCACTTAATGTGGATCTGAAGAATGGTATTTACATCCTCCTGCAATCTCAGAGGAGCAGTAAGCACCTAGCTGTATTTAAATTAGTTTTCAACTGTCAAAAAAACCAACATTTACCATGATTGTGATAGAACTAGTATTTGATATACAGAATTCATGAGGCACAAACACTCCAGGCAGGGTGTTTGTGGAAAAAAAAGACAAGGGAAAGAAATACTGTAAGTACCTTTAAGTTAACTTGTTGGCACTGAATCACTGTGTTGCATTTCTCTATTTCACAAGAGAAAGTCATTCACCAGTCATTTCCTAGATATTGTGCAGCTGACAGAAGGTAAATAAATTTAAAGTATCAACAGCAATTGATTTAGCTTTTCAAATACATGAATTACCATCATTCAGATTCTGCTAAAAACCCACTGTGCTTTGTGGCTACATGTTGTCCTCAGAGGGCATCACAACAGCATTAAATGTAATTGAAAAGGTTAGTTTTTCCAAAATCACAGTGAGCATCTTCCCTTTCTTTTTATTCTTTTTGTTGATAAGGATTTTGTTCTTTTTGTTGATAAGGATTAAGGATCTAAGCTGTTTGTGCATTTAAAAATCCCTTGCCTCCTCAGAACCTTGGCACTGTGCATCCCAACCTTTATCTGTGGTCCATCTAGCCCAGTAGAAGGCTAGCACAGACTCATTTGCAATTGACATTTTCTATGCCCTCCTTGGGTAGGAGTGGAATTAGGCAACATTAGAAATCTATTATCTGTGGTCCTAGCAATTTTGAAACGTCATTTTCTTATCAAAAGTGATACCAGGTGTATTCCTGATGCTCATGACTTCCATGTAAATAAACCTTATCAACATCAGCAAGCAGTATTAATACCACAAGACAACCACAGACCTAGAGTTCTCATGAGTCAGTCCCCAGAGAGGGAGCTAATAGCCTACTTTTGCACCAGTATGACTTCTCAGTGCTGACCTTGAAACCTCTCTGTTTCCCAAGCAAAACCTTGTGCGAAGTTGAATACATGACCAGAAGCCAGTGTATTCCCGGCATTGTATTTCTGCAACTTATGACACAACTTTCTTAGTCAGAATCTGATTATCTCCAAGAATGGGGCTCTTTCCATCACATACAGTGTCAAGAGGATGGGGAAACATCCTAGTGCAAGGATGTCAGCTTCCTCACAGAAATTCTGAAGTCTGTCCTGCACAAAATGCTAGCCTAACACAGTCACCACAGATGACTTTTTGTGCCAGAAATTCTGCTTTGTGAATGAAAGTAGAGCATCAATGGCAGCATTCAACTGGTCCTCCAAATCAATCCTGTATTTTTTTCTTTATGCCTCATGTCCAATACGCTAAGATATACTGGTAATCCTCAAAAGAATGACATTTCCTGAGTTTCTCTGCACCTTTTTGATGAGATGCATCAGACATGCAGTCAAAAGAAAGATGACAAACCAAAACAGTTTCCAGCTTGGTTGCTAGTGAGAAACCATCTGTCCTGCAGAGATTAACTGCAGTTAGGAGTCAATTTTTTTATGGCATATGAAGCTCATGTAGTAGGCACAAATCTTTGCACCAAACACAAACACCACTGAGCCCTGTGTGGGTGCAGATAGGGCGGGCTTAGTACCATGTTAGACATAGATGATGGAAGGGCATGCCATCAGCCAAGTGACAAGATGATGTAGAAATATAATAAAATCTTACTGTGTTTTTTGAGAGCTGGAAAGATTCATGGTAGTAGATGACCCCACTGCAGTTTTGGAATTTAATGAATTCTCAGCTGATGAATAAGAGCTGTCTTCAGATATCTAGAAATAATAAAATCAAATGGATTAATTAGAGATAGTATATTTTCTGCTATTAACAGATCTGCTGGAATCCAGAGTCACTAAGGTATATAGATAGACAGAGAGATACAGATATAGATAATAGATGTGGTAGTTGGCAGAGCTTCCTCCAACTGTGTACTAAGCCAGTGCCCTCAATTTAAATACTAAAATCTCACTTTCTAAATAAACAAAATCCAGAACACCCAAAGCTGATTTTCCCACAGGACCCTGATATCAGAAACATAAGACAGGTTGCAGAGAAGAGATGATTTTTCAAACGCAGTGAGCATGAGTTTAACATTTCACACCACGTCAGTGATACATCAATTCCACTGAAACTTACACGGAAACTTTCCTGAAAATCACACAGTGGAATAATTAATTGCTTTAAAACAGCACTGGTTTGTTTCGTGTTTGTTTGGGGTTTTTTTTCCTTAATTTGAGCTCCAGTAAAATTATTTTTCTTTTTACCTGAACACATGCTTCTTTCTTAGTCAATAGAGATACTACAGGAATTTCAGGACAGGTCAGGGCTTGTGGGGGCTGTAAAGTGGCAGGTCTAATGACATTCCACAATTGACTTGGTGACAAGGATCCTTGCAAAATACAAAGACAAAATATTTAAACATATACTTTTTCTTCACATTTGATTCATACCTATATGTCTTGCCTCTTAACTGAAAGTTTCTAAACATTTTTAAATAACATTTACTGTTGTTTACTTGCTTCATATTCTGAAAAATTCTGATGGTTTCTAAAATACACAACTCTGAAGTGAAACCAATGTGTTATCCTATCAGGATAAAAACAGTAATGTGCTATATTCATAAACATTCTTATTCGTACTTATAAAATATATTTGTATTTATCTATTTTAGTGTATCTTTATACTTATATTTATTGTTTTGTTTTGGATATGTCTTCTGGCATTTCAGATTTAATTCTGTATCTTCAGATGCCAAGAGGTTTTTTCATTGCCTTCTCCAGGAGCAGAGGTATTCAGTTAGAAATGTGGAATTTCACATTTCAATATTCAGTCCACTCAGGAAATTAGCAGTCAGAGCAGATGCTCAGACCAGGGTTCACAGGACATTTACACTGTCAAACAAATATGGTGTGAGCTGCATAAAGATACCTAGCCTATCAATCAGTACAAAAAAGAGTTGTTCTTTTCTTGTCTTACATATCTCTAAAGAATGTCTTTGTGCAACTACAGTGAATAAATATTACATTGACAGTTACCTTCTCTTGTAGTTTTGATGATGTCAGGATTTCTTTGAAGAAGAGCTGAGGTCATGAATATGTTATTCTTCTTTACTACAGAAAAGGAATTTAAAATTGAATTATGAGTAAACCCAAATTTTTACCATTAATTAGTATTTCTGTAAACCCTTCCATGTTTTGGTGGTACCTGAGCAATATTCCAAGATACCCATCCAAAAAAGATCTCCAAGGTAACTGTTACTGTCTCAGTTTTTACAGATGGGCAGATTTTTCCACAGTCTTTTGGATATTAATGAATGTTTTAAATGCAAAATCTTTCTTCATCTTTTAAAACTAGGTGTTCCTGTTTTGTAGAAATATTGAAATACCAATGCTGTCTGGTCGAGTTTCAGGCATTTTTAAGATGATTAAATGAGGCCCAAATTCATGGGAAAAAATAAATAAATGTACCTGCCCTGTTCTGCTAAAAAGGCCTTCATAACTTACTAGAATGATGCAGGTGCACTATTGATGCTTTCACTGTTTTAGTAAAGATATCAAACACCAGTGAGAAGGTGATGGCAACCATGCTGTAGAGGCCTAGGAGGTAAGGGTGGCAATGTGTATGTCGCTGATATCTGAACAGCTGTGGAGCCAGCCAAGGACTTTGACTGTGGGAAAGTGTGGGATGTGGCTGGAGAAGGGGCCACAGAGAGGTAGGGCAGCACTCTTCCAGGACACCGTAAGTACAACATGGCACAGCACAGCAGGAATGACGCCAAGATGTGGGCATGGACTGTGGGGGCATCAAGACCACCTAAGATCCCCAAAGCCTCTGATCCATTTCCAGAAAGAATGAACTGCACATGAGAACTGATTTGCATAAAAAGAGAGGAACTTACTTCCAGTGTGGGAAAACCCTTTTATATAAAGGTACCCCCATAAAGCCAGAGTGTGTGCCCCAGGATCCTGGACATGCCTTCAGCCAGACTGATGCTGATGCTGGAACCAGGACTGGTGATCTCTTTTTCTCTCTTTCTTGCTTTCTCTCTTCTCCTCTTTAGTCCTCTTTAATTCTCTCGCTTCCCTTTCACATTACCCCCTCATCCAAAATCCACCTCCATGTGCTTATAATAGGAAATCAGGACTTATAACCAGTTTTCATGCCAAGTGTGTAATTTAGCAGTAAAACTTTTTAAGCTTTTGCAGAACCTCTGACTTCTGTCATTCCTTTCCACCATGACCACCTACAAATCTTGGGTGCTGTCTTCCCCTTAACGGTGGGATGTCACACATGTACCATGTCCTGTGAAATGGCACAACTGATAACACTACATAAAACCACCACTTTTTCATTCCAAGAACATGTTTTGCTGCTATTAAAATGCTGTGAACTCTTATGATTGTTTAGAAATCCTCTACACCAGCATCTGTCAAGAACCTGTCTCTGGTAAGAGACGTAGGCTAGGATTTGAGATTACTCCATTGTTCCTGTTAGTGCTAAGAGTGAGGATATTCCTTGGGTCCCTGGTTAGGTGGAAGACAGCTCTTAGGATATAAAATTACATTCCTGTAGGAACCATCACCATTATATTGCAAGCAAACTATTAATGTAATTACTGTAACTTCATCTTTGTTTTTTAAGTATAATTTGTATCACGCTCTGTAAATGCATGGTTTTAAATTACTCAGATTCCACCCCTGCCCCAGAGGATTCTGTTAATCTTATCTTCTGTTTAACTGCAACAAAACCTCCTTCCAAAACACTCCTTTCTCCTATCTAAATACCAGACTAGTCCAACACACTTGCAGAAAAAGCATTTCTGCACACATCTTTATTTTAGTTAATACCTGCTTTTCTACAGGAATATTTGTTTTTATTTACCTGTCTGGGAGGGAGGAAAACTTGGAAGGATGTTAAACGAAGATGATCTCCCTCTTTTCTGTGTGAGAGCTGTATCTAAAAGAATAAAAGACTGAAATTATCACTTGTTTGGAGAATAAAAAAGACCAGTTTTAGTTAGCCAGGCTGATGTCATGCTTTCACTGACAGTCGAATAAATTACTATCTGCTACCTACCATTTTTTGAAGCAGACTAGGTTATGTCTATGCTGCTGATCCCAGGAGGATTCTGAGGCCAAGCAGCACAGCCTGGCTCAGGCACACAGTTAATCTTCTCTGTAACAAGTCCTAGAGACTGCCAGGTGGAAATGTTCAAAACAGAGACAGACAGTGACCTGTCACTTAAACAGTGTGGGCAGGCAAGGGGGAAAACTCCAGCTTCTTCTTGCACTCTGCTTTAATTCTTTTGGTATAGGCATGCCCTTAAATTCCTAGCATATCTATCCTAGTTTAACTTTCAGAGTAAAACAAACTTAGCCTACCTTAAGTCCTCTTAGGTACATTCAGATGTAATTAAAACAAAAATACACTGTACATTTATTAATGCCTGAATTCAGAAGTACCTTTCTGGTACCATCCATACGTTAAATAAAGATTGTAAAAAACAGATCAGTCCTTCTGCACAGTAGCCTCTGTGATTTGTGTTCTTTTCCCATGGAAACAATACACAGTCCTTAATGGACCTTCTCAGTCAGCTCTTGGCTGGAAGGAAGGGCCCTTCCTGGAAACTGCTTTACATTTTTAAGGATTGCCCAGGAAACACTGATCTCTTCCACAAGCCAGGGAGATAATTCCTTTCTTGACCTCATCCTCCCTTGACCGTGTGAGCAGCTCAAGAAAATGATACAAAATTTATATATTTTCCACTACTTTTTGTAGTATTATGTAAGTATGGAAAAAATAACGTATTTTTAATTTAAAAGGTATTTATTGGAAGTTACCAGCAAGTATTAATGTTTAAGTTTTCATGACTTTCAGCATGCCTATAATGCAGAAACATTTCTTAGATGGGGGAATTCATTCTTTTCTTTACCAGATGAAAATACAGAACTCCAATTAAAACATGACTGGAGGTAAATGTCATACCAGAGCTAGACTGAGAGTCAGACTTCTGGAAAGTCAAAGATGATGATCTTGCACGTTTTCTGGAACAGCTAATGAAATCTCGAGAAAAGAAAATATAATGTAATTGGCAGGAAGTATCAGTGCGATGCTACAATACTGAATTAAAACCTGAACAAAATAAATTCTAGGAGGGACTTACAGGTTTAAGGCAATACCTAAGATCTAGAGGGCTTTGAAATCTCAGTCACCACCTGTTACAAAGCCCTGGGGAGTCTTCTCTATGTCTACTAAGTTCAGGGAACCTAAAGCAAGCACTTAGGATCAGTTCATAGCCCATGGGCTTACCAGGAATGAGGAGCTAGATTGTAAAAAAAAGCCAGTTAGGAGTTCAGGCTTGGTCAATTTTCAGGGCTTCTGGAGCTTGTCTTTCTGGTAAATATGAGAAGTAAGATGGAAGAACTCTTGAGGGAAGACAGGGACATATATGTTAGGACAGAGTAGGTGGCTCTACAACCCACAAAATCTTAGTCTGGTAACTGGGATTCGGCCCTGCTCATAGAAAAAGTCCAAACACTGTTTCCACAGGTAGACATACGAATAACTCAGTTATATCATGCTGTTTCAGTGAGGTGGTCATTACCATTTTCAGCTTTGCAAACTGGGTCTTCTGCAGGCCGCTAGAAAAAAAAATAAGCATGGAAAAGTCAAAGAAAATAGAACAGTCATTTTCTAGACAGAGACACAAAGTATAACAGTCCAGCATATATGCATTGTCTTGTTTCTCTTTTCCAGTCTTCCTTGTTCTATTTTCAGACCATTTATTACAAGTGTTAACCTAATGGCTAAAATCTTATACTACTGCTAGGATAATTGTCTACAGAAACCCTGTTTCTCAACAGTTTTTATCAACAATGAAAAAGGGAAAAAAAGGCTTTTTACCTTCAAAGAACGGTCCTTCTTTTCAAAAACAAATGTTGCCTGGGCAAGCACTGATTTCTCTGGAAAAAGAGAAGAGATAGTTTTTAATAACAATTCTGTAATAGTATTTATCAACCAGATCTTTGAAAATGCTGTGCAGTAACAAACAGGAGTTCATCCTTTTGTACAAAGGAATAAACTATAGAGATGCAATGATGTACAGTACAGCACATTACAATAAAAAGCTATAATCCCCAAATCTGAGTGAATTTTGCCTAACTAGATGGCATGAGATTTGGCCTCATATTTTTTATATTTCTTTTTATTAAAAAAAAATACTTTTAGCCTTTACAAAAAACATCTACCATCCTTTAAGACCAAGGGTGAACTCCATCTTTGGGTAGCAGAAGAGAGAAAGGATGTGAAATGTAAAATATTCCTAAAGGAAGGAAAACAAGAGAATGTTTACACTCAGCCTTTCAGCTACATTTATATATTCTGCTCTTTAAGCTTCAGGTGTGTGGATGTCTAGGGTAATTTTTAATTTGTGTGTATGACAAATAAACATATGGAGCTCTATAGAGCAAATTCTAGTCTCAGCATACCTCTGCATCTCTCAGGCATAACTAAAAGTATCTTGGATCTATGCTCTTTTTTCCTACAAAATATATTTCTGCATATATTTACATCATATTTTATGCTGATTTAGGGTTCACTACTTCTGCATCTCACACAACTTCTTCAGGCTGTCTACTTTTTTAAGCTGGTGACCTTCACAGCCTGTGCAGTTCTAATGGACTAAATTGTCAATGTAAAAGAAAAAGCTGTTTTCACCAGCACCACTGATTAATGACACATTTATTATATGAATTAAGGACACAATGAGCAAAAGAGCAGGCACAAATAGGTCTTTTTTTAAAGACCACTCCATACAGGATTCATCTCATGCTAGCTTGATACATCTCTCATGTGCAGTAAATAGAAACAATAAGGTTCTGACTATGAGCATATTTTAGCTGTGTATTTGAGATGATAAATGGAAAGCTAAATGCATGTATTTCTCTCCATGCTTGGTAAGTACAGAGTACAGACTAGGGTGACTGCTGAGCTATTTGACTGGCCTCTGGCCAGAGAAATCTCACACTTGGTGCCTTGTTAGCTGACATTTGACAAAATATTTATCACATACACAACATTTTTGTAACACTCTTTTCCTTTGTTACCTCTTCAACAAAAACATCCAAGTGAAAATATGTGGATAGATATTTTTATCTAGAATTCCACACCCATCTGTGACCAAACAACTCAAGCTTTGGTATCAATTAGTCAAAGGTTTAATGAAGCAAACATCAACCCATCACGGAGGAGTTAAGATTACTACACAAAAATGTATTCAACTATGGAGGAAAAAGTAAACATTGTTAAAATTAATGCTTCATGTATGTAAACAGAGGCAAAGAGCATGAAACTTTTACTCAAAAACAGGGATATACAGACAGGATATACAGAGGAGTAATAATTAATACAGTTTTGCTATTGATAATTTTATATTTACTTGGGCATTGTTTATATGCAAAGGACAGGATTTGACAAATTTAGCATGCTTTGCAATGAAAGCCTATTTCTTCCTTAACAGAAAAAATCAGAAAAAAAAGTTCACATTGTTCCACTGAAAGAAAGATAACTCTCTGTCATTGAAAGCTGAAGAAAAATTCCATAATCTGGTTGCAGCTAGGGGGTCAATGGCATGACATGACTTGAAGCAATTCCACTTCTATTCACTAGAGGGGAGTGGCACACATGAACAATAGCATTTCACTTAAATATGATTTTCTGAAGAGAATAGGCTTTTTTCTGTCCCCTTAAAAACAAAAAGCAAAAAACAAACAAAACTGGCATTCTTATTGAATTAAGGAAAAAATACAAAAAGTAAAGCATAACTGTAGAAACCTTCATATTCTTCTCAGTAATCCTCAAGCTCAAGAAGCTTGCACTACTTTTAAAGGTACATTTTCTACTCCAAGGAATGGAATTAGCAAAGAGTGAACTGCTGTGAAAAAGAAATTTACTTTCTGTCACAGAGTTAACTTTTCCTAGAGCTAAAAGTCTGTAGGGGATTTGAAGGAATTTATAAAGCCCACAACATCTGAAACAGCAAGAAGATTCCAATAATATTTTAAAGCCCAAAAGTTCCTAAAGAAAAAAATCCTAACTGCCTAATTACCAACAGAAATACATGAAACTACAGCGTAATTATACCGTTCAAAGATAAATATGCATATTTTAATATTGCAGTAAATAAAAAGAATATATCCCACCTTCTGCTCTTGAGCCAAAAAGCTGTCTGTAAATTTAGTCAGATGTTGCTGATGCTGCCACAGTTATTTATAGTTTTTACAGCTCTATAATGCTTCTACTCAAATCAAGAAAACCTTTTCGTAATTCCTGAAGCATATTCCACAAAGCTCATCCGTGAGATCTTCACTCCTCAATCAGGCTATTCATAACAGGGTTTTAAAAATACATTTTTGTTAACTATATATGTATCCTAAGCATAAATTTCCATTTACATTTTCAGCTTCTCAGATATTCAGGCACAATATAAGTGCAGATGACCTCCACAGAAAAAGACACCCAGAACTTCTTGTGGATGTAACACAAGGCCATCAGGGAGTTACCACAGTCGTGTTGACATGGTAGTTTGACACTGGTCAGTACCCGTGCATTTGTCCCTTTCATTTCCTGCCCTAAGTCTGCCTCTGGCAGGGAGAATAGGTGCTTCTGCACCCCCTGCCATGCAGGGCCAGACTCTGTCCCAGGAATAGGCGGGAGCAGCCAAGGCCAGGCACAGGCAGATGCAGACAGAGGAATGGGAACGGGTGGGCTGGAGCCATTCCCCCTCATCATCGCCACCAGGACACAGACAGACATGGGCTGGCTAGTGCCTGGTTCAGACCGGGCCACTCCAGTCCTTGGCAGCTTGGCACTTGTGGATAAAAGAGGCAGTTGGAAAAGTTACCAGAAAATAATGCCAAATGAGCTGACTCTGGCTGCAAGGACTGCAATAATCTACCAGCCTTAGCCAAGAGCCCAGACACAGAACCTGTCTGTCTGCACATGAATAATCACCACAGATTGGGCTCTCTCTCCCTTGCTACAGATCCCCTGAAGCTGTTGAATCAGAAATGTGTTGGCCTAATGTTTGCTGTATTCAAAGATCAAAATAGGCCTTTGCCTGGAAGATGCATTAGAAACATCCTATTTCTTTGTCTGAGATCTCACCTGGAAGGTGTCCTGGCTCCAGTCTCCTGTCTGGCACAGAAGCACAATCAAATGTGCTTGTATCTGAGCTACCTGACTTAGATGGTGCCCAGATTACAGGATGGAGACTGCTTTCCGTTTAAAAGAACATTTTAGGAAAAGTGTGGGGAAAAGAAATGCTAGCTGATGCCTTAGGAGCACTAGCCAGAACTGCATGCAAGAAATAATGTAAAATTGCTTTTACCAGGTTTGCTTGTATCCTAAAAGACAGCACTGTCCATGAGATGTAAGGGTCCCTCTGCCTTTGCTGTGACATTCCACTGTTCACTTCCACTGCCACTGCCTTTTCTAAAGCTATTGAGACTTCACAAAATATAAACATTAAAAAATAAGTAGGACATTGATGATTTTGAATATTATTGTTACTATAGTTCCATCTTGTCCTAAACACAGATAAACAATTCTTAATCTTTGAGGGCTAAGACACAGTGGAGAAAATATAAGCACATATCTGTTTCTAATTTTCAGGCAGTCCTGTGCCTGAAATCATGCCAAAAGTGGTGGCAGTACTGTTTCTCTACTCCTCTCAAAGAAATACATAAAAACCCTCCTCAAATCTTTCAGAAGGTAAAATAGGAATTGTGATCTCAATAAAAGTTTTGTTTCTGATGTTGAAACAGTTAATTTTTATGCTTTCAATTTACAAAAATTAAATCTGTTGCATCTTCACCATTACCAAACTGTCCAGAAGACTGAAAATGCTTTAATTCATATCCACAGCAAAATCTTGCACATTAAGTAAAGATGGACCAGTTGCTTCAAAAGGCTGAGCTCACCAGCAGCAGCGGCAGCACCTCTGGGATAATGGATTTAACAAGGGCAAAAAAGAACTGCGCAAGGGCAATTGCAGCTGTGAGAGAGGAGTGAGAATTCGAGAGAGGAGCAGGTCTGAAAACACCAGGGTCAGTGAAGGAGGAGAGAGAGAGGGTGTATGGTGACACAGCTGTGCCCCTGCAGCCCCTGGAGGAGCCCACACCAGAGCAGGGGGATGCCCAAAGGAGGCTGTGATCCCATGAGAAGCCTGTGCTGCAGCAGGCTCCTGGCAGGACCTGTAGCCCATGGAGAGAGCAGCCCACACTGGAGCAGGTTTGCTGGCAGGACTTATGACCCCACCAGGGGCCTACAGTAGATGAACTCATGGAGAATAGCCTGTGGAAGGGACTCAAGACACAGAAGTTCTTGGAGGACTGTCTCACCCCTGTGGTGGTGCAGGGGAAGAGTGTGAGGAATCATTCCTGAGGAGGAAGGAGTGGCAGAGACAAGGTGTGATGGAACTGGCCATAACCCCCATTCCCCATGCCCCTGCTGTGCTGAGTGAGAGGAGGTAGAGAAAGGAGGGAGTGAAGTTAAGGCTGTGAAGGGTGGGAAGACGGTTTCTTTTTTAAGATTTGGTTTAGTTCTCACTACCATTCTCTAATTCTAATTTGACTGGTATTAAACTAAATGGATTTCCCCAAGTCAAGTCCCTTTTGCCTGAGATGGTAATTGATGAGCGTTCTCTCCCTGTCCTTATCTCAACCCATGAACCTTCCATGATTTTCTCTCCCCAGTCCAGCTGAGGAGGGAAGTGAAAGAGTGGTTTTGGTAGGCACCTAGCATCCAGCCATGGTCAACATACCACAACATTAAATAAATAAACCAAACAAAAAGGAAAAAATATGGCACAAACCAAAACCAAACAAAAACCTCCTTCTTAGTCAGAAAAAAGATCTCAAATAGAATATGATACTTGAAAATTGTTTAATGTCCAAATAATGTCACTGATTTACAAAACCTTTAACTGCATCCAACTTTCCTTTACAACATCCTAGCAAGCACTGCACAGCACACAAAGTCTACCAGAAAATTTATAATCAGCTTATAATTTTATCCTATCAAATGATAAGGCTATGACATTGATTTATCAAGTTTCTGTGCTCTGATATGCTATAGGATATTTTGGAAGCTTTGCACATTACAGCTATAATTTGAAAAAACTGTATTTTGATGTTATAGCTTAGATTGCTGGTTCCCACAGAACTCTAACCAAATGAAGTTAATCAATAACAAATTCTTGCACATAAGACTGACATTTTGATTGTTTAACATCTAATTAGCTCAATGAGAACATGTAATTTGGGAAGATGTTGAGAACAAAAGTAGATTTAGTATCACTTTGGCTGCTACATCCCCAGAAGTAGTTTTATACCACTAAAATAGTAAAAAAAAAAATATGGAAAAAACTTTGTCACTAATGAATATGTTCTATGTACAGCTATTACTTGAAAAACAAGTGAGACAAAATTTTGTGGCAATACATATGAAGGAAAAGGAAGCAACAGTGGACTAGCATTTAAGTGGGAGACATGGACCGAGAAATTTACATTGACTAATAAAATAAATAACAGGAATTAGTAAAAGAAATTATTTTCACTGTGCTAGATGATGATCTGTACATTAGAGGCTTCAAAGAGCACCAAAGAGTTAAACTTTATAATACTATGAACAATTTTTATTCAAAATGCTGCAAAAACTCAGAAAATTATCAATACTTTAGACAGCAAAACTGCAACATGCAGAAGAAAAATACGTATATAGTGAAAAAAAGAAACAAGATAAATTAACAAAATATTTTCCTCCCTAAGCTTAGGCTCATGTCTAAATATTGTTTCTGGCTTTTGATACAAAAAGACATCTGTCAGTATTTCCAGTGATGCACCATTTTCATCTAAAATGAGGTGGAAAATAACAAAAACCTTCTGGCTTCTGTCAAGAAGGTATCAAGAACAGGATTTGCCAAACCTGCAGTAGAACCAGTTTTTGGTTTAAACGTGCCCATCAAAGTTCACAACATAAAATAGAGTCAGTTCACAGCCAAGAGAAAGTGCCACAATGCTGCCAGCCAACACCTTGGGTCCCTCAGTGGCATCACTACATAAGCCAGGCTTTCATCTGCTAAAACTTAAATAAGACAGAAGATACGAGGCAAAATGAGGGTGTTCTAGAACAGTACTTCATGCAACCAACTTAATAAAATGGATCAACTTAAAAGAAATACGGGAAAGGGTTTGTGAAATTTCCCACTGCTGACCCCCAGTAAAGGGTGTGCTCCCAGAAGTGCTGAGTGTTCTGATGGAATTCACACACACAGCTGCACAGCAACTTTGAAAAAACAGGTCACTAAGCTGTAAATATGGACCTGGAAACCTACTTTAAGATTCTCATATATTAGTCTTCATACTTTTGATTCTGCTAATGAATCATATTTAGTACTTTCTAAGACAGCTGTCTTAAAAAATAAGACCAGTTTTAAAGCCATGACTGGGGATTTTCCAAGCAAACTTACATTTTTTATTTTTTTTTTGCTAGAGACATTGTAGTACAAGATTGATGACTTCAATTTGTATCTATATCTATTTTATGTACATAACGGGTTTTATTTAATCTGTTAACACTCAAAACAAAATAAGAAAATAAAATAAGGTCAAAAGTCAAATGAAGTTCTAATCTGGTCTAATCTCCAGTGCTAATCAGAAGAGTTTCCCATACACAAAGGCATCAGAGATGCATGTTGCTGTACAGCAACGTGCAGCTGCAGTATCCTAGTCAAAGTTCCAGACCTGTATGCTAATGGAATTTTTTCTTTTATGATACTCTTCTGAATGTCAGTAAATCAATAAATTTGCAACAGCTCCTCATGGATCCTGATTTCCCAAATATGCTCAATAGAAATCATTTTAAATAGTGAAAAAAATATTTTGAATATTGTCAAAATAAAGTACTTAAAACCTGTTGAGATGAAATCTTTGACAAAGTTTTTTTATTATTTGAAAAAAAGGAACCATTCATTGCTGTGAATTTTATTTTTTAAATAAAAAATTTCTAGAGAACTTAAAACATATATCACTGATATTTGGCCACTGGCTGCACTTGCTGCAGGAGCAACTGTACTTCAGTGGCCCATGAAGAGATTGCTGGATACAGCCCAGTGCTCTGTTTAAACACCCTGTACTAAATATGAAGTGCACATTGCTTATCTTGGGTTCAGGCAGCATTCTGTAAATATAGTTTGGGGAACCAATAAATAACTTAATGCCTCCCTGTTTGGATCAGCAGAAAGTACATCATCAAAGAAGGGAGTTTCTGTTTCATTACACTCAGAAAGAAGAAAGTTCATCTAATTGACAATTGCAAAATAAAACTTCTGAAGGAACTTTTCCTAGGACAGTTTTACTACATTGTTGGGACTCCAATATTGCACACTCTTTGTTATACAAATAGTTCATAACCCACATAAATGATTTCCCTGTCATCAGTGACACCAGTTATGAAAGCAAAGGATTCTTCATGCAGGCACAGTCCTGCATTATCAGACTCTTAACATTTTAAGATATGTTCATCCTCTCCTAAGTCACTCTTCTCAATGCTACAGATTCTAAACACAGATAGGGATTAGGGTGGAAAGGGTTCTTCTAGCCAAAAAATTCCATTCTAATACTCCGAGCTCCCACTGTGGTTTTTAGCATGCCATGTGAGAGATGAGATTTAAAATTTAAAATACTTCTCTTCAGCTGTGGAAACTCAGCTGACAGCCTGTGGAAGTGTTTATAAATACAGCATATGTCACACCCACTCACCTCTGTAGAGCACAGTTCTCACCTTAATATGGGTATAACATAAACAGGCATTAAAATAGCAATAAAAATTACCCTGTCTCAGCAATATTGTAGCATAATTTCTAGAGAAATGTAACCCAGTTGGCTTTATTTCAAACATTAGAGTGAAGAAAATATTTTTGAGAGTCTCATCACTAGAGTGTAATTCTAGCAGTGATACCACACCAGAAGTAACTGTGCCACTAGACCAGCAGGACTGTGCCAAAAAGCATAACCAAAATTTATTTTAGGAACACTGAAACAAACATCCCACTGCTCAGAATTTTTAATCTATTGTAGAAGCCAGTAAAATATCCAATGAAAGAGCCATAAAGTTTGTAGGCATAAAAAGTGTTACTCTTTTCAGGGCATTGTACTGAATTTAAATTTCATAAATCCCTACAAGGTGGCACAAAAGTAACCCCCAGGGGGTTTGTGCAGAAATTGATCTATACAGGTAATAAGGTCATGATCCAACAACACTCACACATCCTTAAATTTGAGTGAGTAAATTGGACTGTGTGCTCAATATTAAGCACAAGCTGAAAGGTTGGTCAACTGATAAATTAGCCCAGCATCTCCAAAATGTATCAGTCATAACATCAGACTTAGTCCTTGAAAGTCTTCTTGGTAATTTAGGTTCATTCACCCCCTGTGGTAAAAAATGGTTGGTGGCATCATCTGCAGAAAGTAATTAATATTAGCAATTGTTTTCATTATGCATCCTCATCAGTTTTTAATGATACTGATAAATCACTTTTAATTCATGGTTCTCCTCACTACCTAAATAAGGGATTTTGCTGTCCACCTCTGTAGTCAGGCACCAATCTGAGGAGCTAGAGCAGGACAATTTTGCTCTCAAGGTGCAGGGCACATCAGGCCATGAATGTCCAGGAAAACAAGTGTTGCATCCAGGTATGGCCAGGAATGCAAGTGCTATTCCCACAAATCGTCAGGCCCGGCATTTAGGAAAGCTGCAGAAAGCTCAAATGGCAGGGGAGTTAACGCTGTCAGAAACATAGAGAGGCCACATACACACATCTGGCAGTGTCCTTTCCTCAAGGAAAATACAATTTGGAGGTTTCCGACAGATTACCGGTAAAAACAATGCAATAAAAAAGCACAGCCAGCTCTTGTTTTGCATTACACACAGCACTGTTACCAACCAGGCACATTTTTGCGTTTATCCCGTTCCCCAAAGAAACCCGGGGGAACACAAGAGACATGCAAAAGATAATAGCTATCAAAACCTACCTGTAAAGCGCTCCTCCTTGGGATCTAACATGCTGCCACGGGAGTCTCGGCAGGGCCTGGGCATGGTCTGTTCTTGCAAGTGAGCAGCCTGGTGCAGAGCCCAGGGACCACCGGGCCACTCTCTTCTTTTTGGGAGGTCGGGCACCTTCGCACCCGGCAGGGGTCTGTCACAGCCAGCAGCGGAGCATCGCGCGCCTGCACAGAAAACATTCCCTTTGAAAGCAGGAATTGGCTCGTTTCTCATTATGAGGTCAGCATAAGTACTCTCTTATATACATCTCTCCCTATAAATGTAATTATATATGTTACGTGCGCCGTGGCCGGCTCTGGAAGCCTGCCGCCCTCGGAAGCAGCCAGCGGGGCCCCGGGACGCCCGCAGCGAGGCAGGGCTGCAGCAGCGGCGGCGGCCGGCGGGGACAGCCCGGGGACGGAGCCCAGGGATGGGGCCCGGGGCCGGCTCCTCGCCCACGGGGCGGGCCAGGGGAGGGGACATGGAAAAGCCAGGCACGGGAACGTGGAGGGGGAGAGAGGGCGGGCTGGGGAAGTGCGCGAGTGGCGGTTCACGGGAGTTGCGGTGGCTGCGGGGGCTCGGGCGGTTTTTGGCTCTTTTGTTTTCAAAAAGAAGATGAAATTTCAGGCAAGGTTAGCCGAAACCCGGGGTTGTTCCCAGGCTGACGTGAACCGAGTGCAGCCTCAGCACAAATAGGTGTTGCGGTCCCTCCTTCCAGACGCGCTGTGCTGCAAGTCCTGAAGCCTCGCCCGTGCCTCCTGCTGCTGTCTTAAATGGCAACAGCCCCAAATTCTTCAAGTGGGAGAGATTTCAGGCCATCATATACTGCAGGCCTGGTGTCAAACTGCCTGTAATCATAACAGCTGAAGACAAAAAAGCAGGAATTCACTGTAAGTTGATCAGAATCATACGTCTAATCTAATCTAGTGTCTTCACACAGCCAGTATCAGATGTTTCACAGAAAAAAGATGCAGTAAGTCCAAGAGCACACAGATGCTCAGTGGTTTTCCCTTACTATAGACTCAGTGTGTGTTGGTGTAACTTCTAAAGTGTACCATTTAACCCTTCTGCAGTAGAATCAGAAAAACTTTTAGACTGGAAAAGACCTCTAAGATCAAAGTCCAGCCCTTAACCCATCACTGCCAAGTTCCCTTCTAAACCATGTCCCCAGGTACCACACCTACACATCTTTTAAAGACCTTCAGGGATGGTGACTCCATCACTTCCTTTGGCAGCCTGTCCCAGTGCCTGACAACCCTTTTGGTGAAGGAAATTTTCCTAATATACAATCGCAATATCTCCTGGAGCAACTTGAGGTCATTTTGTCTTGTCCTGTTGCTTGTTGTCTGGAAGAAGAGGCCGAGCTCCATCTGGCTACAGCCTCCTTCTCTGGACATGCTCTAGAGCGTGCTCACCTCACTGTCTTGTAGTGGGAGTCCCAAAACTGAACATAGCATTTGGGGTGCAGAAATCTGAGCCTATGATGTTAGAACTAAGTATTTTTGTGGCCTTCAATTATATATGCCACCTCTGCATAAACCTTAATAACTTCTTGACTTGTGTACACTTTGTCATCACGTTGCACAGTAGCAGTGCAGTTTGTAATTTTTGTTTTCCAAGTTTTCAGTTTCAGTTGAATAGTGCCTTGTTACTATTATGTGCAACAGTCCTATTCTAGCTTCTCAATAACATTTTATTGTTTTATACTTTTGTAATATATTCTAGTTATCTTCTGAGGAACACTGTTCAAATTTTTTCAGTCATTATTTCTTTTGCATTCACAAACATGCAGATGGAGGTGGCCCATAGGCAGTTGCAGAAAAGGTAATGGCACAGAGCTGTTTCTAATTTGTCCAGTGAAACCAGCTGCTGCTGGAGAAGGAGGAAATATTCTGTGGAACATCACATTATCCTGTCCTGTTCTCAGCCTTAGCATCCATTGCTAGCCACTCCTCAAGAAAGGATTCTATGGTGCCACTCAGCATCACCATTCTTATATCCTTTCTTAATATTATATTCATTTTGCCTGTTGAACTCCTTTAAATAATAAAATCTTTAATACACTGTGATAGCCAAGTGAGTACATAACATGATCTGAAACTGGAAACTAAAAGTAAAAAGAAAGGTGAAATAATTTGGAAATCATAACACACATATATCTATTTTTTGACATTTCAACTATGAATATGGAAATTAACCAACAGTTAGTTTCTCCATAAATAGTTTTTTATCACATCATGATGAAATTAATTTTGTAGTAAGAGAGAGAAAAGTAAAAAGCAGAGTAGTTACCTGGGTCTGCTCTTGGCTAGGTCACAAAATAAATTCCTTATTAGTTCAAGCTCTAAATGGTACAAGGTTCTTTGATAAGCAAACTATGAATTCTAGATTAAAGTCATTCTAATTTAATTATGAGTCTAACATTTTATGAACACTCAATTATAATAAAACCAAGAGTATGCAACTGGTTTTCAGACAAAATCCTGAAAATGCCTGCATATGTCCTGCTGTCATTGACATCTCTGGTGCTCTTCTCTGCAGAGCTGTTTCCATCAACAGAACCTCCAAGGACAGCACAGGTCTTGTGTGTCCTTGATGCACTCACATTACTCCTACTTACCCAAAGATAACCTTTGAAAATCCTTATTTAACACAAATAAAGTAAGCACAATACATTCATTTCAGTTTACAGATACATTAATCACTCAACCGAACCCTTGATCTGAGCACTCTCCACTTACTAAATTTTAGGAGGGAATAAAATTAATATCAAACATGGTAACAGTGCTGTTGAGGTTTAATCCCAGCCAGCAGCCAAGCCCCAGGCAGCCACTTGCTCTGTCCCCCATTCCCCAGGATCAGGGAGAGAATTGGAAGGGTAAAAGCTGGAAAACTCATGGGTAAAGATAAACAGAGTATAACAGGGAAAACAAAAGGAAAGTAAAACAATGAATTAAGTCACCACTTGCCATGTGCAGGCAGGTGTTCAGCCATCTCCAGAAGAGCAGGGTCCTATCAAATGTAAAATGACTTGGGAAGACAGATGACATCACTCCAAATGTTCTCCCTTCTTCTTCCTCCCACTTTATATCCTGTGCATGGTGTCACATAATCTAGAAAATCCCTTTGGTCAGTTTGGGTCACCTGTCCTGGATTTGTCTCCTCCCATCCTCCCAGGCACTCCCAGTCTCCCTGCTTTTGTTGCAGTCCAAAAGCAGAAAAGGTCTTGTCTCCATATAAGCTCTGCTCAGCAATAACAAAAACATCTCTGTAGTATCAACTGTGTGTTCAGCACAAATCCAAAACATATCCCTCTACTAGCCACTGAGAAGAAAATTAGCTGTACCTCAGCTGAAACCAGCACAAGTGCATTCACCTCCTGCATCCAGAGCATTGATAAATACATCGAACAGAACTGACCCTAGACTTGAGCACTGAGGAACACCACTGCTGGATGGTCACCAGTCACACCAGGCAGTATAGTCCCTTTTGAGCCCTGCCATCCAGCCTGTTCTTCACCCAGCACACTGTGAACCTGCTCATCCCACTGCTGGATGACTTGCCCAGAAGGATGCTATTAAGGACAAAAGTATCAAAAGCCTCCCTAAAACCCAGGAAAGCTACATCCACTGCTTTCCCCTCACCCACTACACAGGTGACCTTCTTGTAGAAAGACATCAGATTAGATGAACATAAATTTCCCTCTGTGAACTCATGTTGCCTGTGCCTGATGGTTGTATTGTTCATTAAATGCCTTCCTTCACAGTCTATACCTCCTGCAGGTTCTTTTTTCATGGCTCAAAGATCTAAGCAGACACAACCTGTATTTCCCTCCAGCATATCCTCTGAACGTGCAGGGCAGGAGAGCAGGGATGCTGTAACACCACATACAAGTCCTCCCAGAGTCAGGGCTCTTCCCAATGCATTTCTCTACTCTCAGCAGAAGCACACACTCCCACTGCTAGATTTTTAACTTTGTATTTTTTCTTATTAAAGCATTTATTCTTTAAATAAGCCTGGGTCACTCTGAAATGGTTACACCATCCATACACTGTTGATGCAAATGTAGAATAGCTGTAGGCTTCCAATCTCTAGAAAACACACACATGTTCACTGGTGATTTCCCCAAAGACAACTTTTTCAGCGACACCAGCCACTTTTTGACTCATCTGCATGAACTCTATATGGTAGAGTATACAAATTTTTCATTAGGACATGATGTGGTACTAAATCAAAAGACTTGCAAAACTATCTGAAAATATGTAAGGGCAATATCATTATTCCAAACACATGTGTACAACACAGCTTTTACTCCACACCCTAATTTTATGATTAAATTTGAAATATTTGAGCCATTATTTTAAATCACTTATGATATTTTCAAGACAATAATACTTAATTTGATCCAACACTTTGGAGTACATCATGAGTATTCAACAAGTCATTCAACACAGTAAAAACCTAGCAAAATACTTCTGATATTTCTGGATTTCAGGCAGAAATCAAGAAAAGAATTCAACAAATACTGTAAGATATGTTATGGCCTCCAGGAAAATACATTCCTGTTTTCTGTATCCAAATCCCTGTTTTCTTAAATTACACCTTTCTAATTTTAGGCACATCTAAATTAAAAGCCCCATTGCTCTGCTTCTGTTCTGTACCTCAGAGAGACGGGTTGCTGGGATCTGCCTCTGAGGCAGGACCACCATGTTCCTTGTTAACAGATTCTTTGGGGTGGATGAAAGCAAAACAGTGCTAATTAACTTACACAACAATGAACAACTGCATCAAAACCGTAACTGGAAAAAACTGAGAAGGGGTACATAGCTGTTCTAGAGGATGTGATCACCCTAAGAGAGGAAAATGGGAAAGAGAAAAACGGGGAAAAAAGAGGTAAAATAAGAGATAGAAAGATATCACTACCCACAGCTCCAGCAATGTGTGGGTGATTGTGGTCTGTGGTTGTGATATGGAGCCCTTGTCTGTTGCAGGTGAGGACCCACGTACGCATCAGAAATTGGAGTTTTATAACCCTGCTTCTTCCCGTAAATGCCCCAGAATGTTCACCAGGAGTTCTGTCCATGGACAGTCTGATTTCTGGAAGATTCTGGAAGTGTGGTGGTGTCAAGAGGAGGGGGTGAGAGTCTGTCTCTGTGTGTCTGTCTGTGCCAGGACAAAGTTCCTGAGTACACTTCCAGAGTTGTGTGTTGGCACAATGGTGGATCACAGTGTGG